ATGGGGAAAATAGGAGGAGGAAGGAGTATTAGGTATGTTCACGAGTTACTTACAAAGTAATAAAGGAGGGATAAAAAACTGATATTATTGTCTCTCAGCATTTTATTTGTATGCTGTCCTTATTCAGCATTTTTATTTCTTGAAATGTATTATGTGATTTAAAACAAAAAGCATTTTATAGGTTATCTGAATTGGATTCAGAGTCAGAGAAACTTAAAAAAAAGCAACACAAAGAACAAAGATGCAAAAATGAACATAGTGGGAGAGCAGTGGATTTTATATTTTTAGTAAGAAAGGAAAGCTAATGCAAGAGTGCCCTCTTTCTGTGGCAAGATCAATAAGAGCAAGAAAGATGAATATCCTTAAAATCCTTATAAACATTTTGCATTTGACAATTTTTTTGTTAAATACCGTATTCTATAATTTCCTTGCTTCTCATTAGGTAGTGAATATACACAAGACGGATCTAAGCCAATTGTAATTCTCATGTACTATATAATTATATGAAATCCATTCCTAAGACTGTCTCCTCCCCCACAAAAAAATCCTAAAAAAAATTGAAAAACTTGCATATTTGCCTAAGCAGAAATCCATAATAGAACAGTAACAGTGGTATGATAACAAGAGATTGGAATCTTAAATAAAACAATTGTAGTATAATTCACTTGGCACAACAGTCTGTAAACCTGATATGCACTGAAATATTATGTAATAAGTCTCTCTCTCTTTGTGCGTGTATGTGTCTCTGTCTCTGTTCTTGCCTTCAACTCAGCTTTGATTCTTGGCAACTACATGGACTATTTCCTGCAGTTATCAATATTTTCATAAGTATTTTTACACTTGCCTGCTTCATAAGGCTGAGAGTGACTGACCCAAAATCATCCAGCTGGCTTAGTGACTAAAGCAGAACTAGAACTCACTGTCTCCTGGTTTCTAGACTGGTGCCCTGACTACTACATCAGCCTGGTTCTCAATAAAGTACGTATTATAGAACTTTAGATAAATGACACCTTTATTCTACAGGTATTGCCCAATCAGTAATAAGTGTAGGGTTTCCTGCCTGAGCAGGGGGTTGGACTCGATGACTTCCAAGATCCCTTCCAACTTTATTATTATTATTATTATTATTATTATTATTATTATTATTATTATGGATCATCGCACAGTCAGCCAGATGTTCAGACTGGATTTGGCATTTTGTCTACCTATTGAGTCCTTACCCAGGACCTGGGATAGGCAGATGTGGATGTTTGATGGTATTACAGGTATCGTCGCAGGATGGAAGCAGTTCCTAATAAGGCCGCCTTTTGCAATTGACTAATAGCGAATTTGTCAATGCCAATGGTGTTCAAGTGGTGCTCCAGTTGTTTTGGGATTGCACCCAAGGAGCCTATTACTATTGGTACTACCCTTGCTTGCTTTTGCCACAGTCTTTCTATTTCTATTTGTAGGTCTTTGTATTTTGTTATCTTCTCCAGTTCTTTCTCTTCTATTCTGCTATCTCCAGGCACTGCCACGTCCACTATCCAGACTTTTTTGTCTTTCTTATCGACAATTGTTAAGTCTGGGGTGTTATGTTGCAGGTGCTTGTCTGTTTGAATTCTGAAGTCCCAGAGCAGTTTAATTTTATCATTTTCTATGACTTTCTCTATTTTATGATCCCACCAGTTTTTGCTTACAGGCAAATGATATTTTTTGCAGATCTTCCAATGCACCATTGTTGCTACTTTGTCATGCCGCTGCTTGTAATCAATCTGTGCAATCTTCTTGCAACAGCTTACCAGGTGGTCCACTGTTTCTTCAGCTTCTTTGCATAGGCGGCACTTACTGTCTGTTGCTGTCTTCTCAATTTTGACTTTGTATGCATTTGTCCTTAAGGCTTGGTCTTGTGCAGCCAGAATTAGTCCCTCGGTCTCTTTCTTCAATTTTGTTTATGATTTTGTTTGTTTGTTTATGAGACTTATATACCGCTTTAAGTGCAAGCACTCTCTAAGCGGTGTACACCAGTAAGCAATGTATATATATATTTACATTGCCCCCAACAATCTGGGTCCTCATTTTACCTACCCCGGAAGGATGGAAGGCTGAGTCAACCTTGAGCCGGTGAGATTTGAACCGCTGACCTGCTGAACACAGGTCAGCTAAAGTGGCCTGCAGTACTGCACTCTAACTGCTGCGCCACCTCGGCTCTTAGCCATTGCCAGGTTTTATTATTATCTGCTTTCCCAGCTATTTTTTTCATGTATTGGCCATGTAGTGCTTTGTCTTCCCATGCCTCTATTCTGTTCTTCATTTGGTCTTTCTTGTAGGCCAGTTTGGTCTCTCCAGTAGTTAGTAAGCCTTCCTGATATACTAATTTCAGTGCATCTTCATCATTGTTCTTCAGATATTCTTCCAAAGCCATTTTTTCTTCTTCAACCATCTGATGTACTTGTAGCATTCCACGCCCACCTATTTGCCTTGGTAGATAAAGTCTATCAATGTCACTGCGTGGATGAAGGGCATGATTCATTGTCATTATTTTTCTGGTCTGCCTATCCATTGCTTTTAGTTCTGCTTGAGTCCAGTCCACTATTCCAGCTGTGTACCTAATGACTGGGATTGCCCAGGTGTTGATTGCCTTTATGGTATTTCCTCCATTGAGTTTGGACTTTAAGATCTTTTTCACTCTCTTGATGTATTCACCTCTAATCTTTTTCTTGACTTCAGTGTGCTTGATGTTGTCAGCTTGAAGGATACCCAAGTATTTGTAGTACTCTTCCTCATCCAGACTCTTAATGTTATTTTCGTGGGGCATCTTGATTCCTTCAGTTTTCACTATTTTTCCTTGTTTGATAGTAAGTGTGGCATTATTATTATTATTATTATTATTATTATTATTATAATACAGGGATGACAGCTCCAACCTTGCAGCCATGCCAAAGCTCTACCTTGGGACTGAGTGAACTTCCAGTTTTTGTTCACAGTTCAGAAGCATGGTTAGTGATTTGAAAATACTGACATGTGATATGCCGATTTTATTCTTTTGTTTAAAAAGTACCATGCCATACTCAGCCGCCCCCCAAAAACCAGCTAAACTCCCTGCTGAACTGGTTATATTTTTAAAAGCAGAAACTATTTGCACAACACTCAAATGGAGCGGATGCCCTTTTCATTGTAGAGGGGTGGCATAGAAAGAATTCAAGAACATTGGTTGACTGCAGAGCGCAAGTTTAAAGTACAACATATTATTAGGCTGAGCATATTTCCACAAGGTGGTGGTGGTTGTTGTTGTTTGCTAAATAAACCCTAGGGAATGCACTCATGGCTGGCTAAGGCAGGAGAAGATAAGGAACAGGAACAAGGAAAGTCTGGTGAAGATGTGCTAAAATATATCTTCCCAGAAGGCAAATGAAGGAGTCCTTCAACCCTCTTCTGTTCATATTGAGCAAAACATTGTCTCTGTGCAAGTTTACCTTTGCTTTGAAAGAAGAGGAAGCTTGCCTAAGCAGCACTGAGGAAACAACCACCAAGGAACCTGGAGATGGCAGAAGTTCTTAGCCATGGGATTCCAGTCAGCTCTGGAGCAAACACTGCAAAATTCTTCTAACATCTCCTCTGGAGGAGTAGCTGAACTGAAAGATCATTGGTTCGGCTCACAAAAATATCTGAAAGCAGCAGAGCATTGTTGAGATCACACAGGCATGGCACCAACCTCATGAAACAGGCCTGAATTTTTACAGACTGATACTTACCTGAGAAAGACATAGCTTGTAGTTTTGATACTTTATTTAGAAAACATTTGTCCTCTTTTTTTAATGTGTAATTTTCTAAATTATAATGTCCATATATTTCAGTTCCCATAGAAAGGATATTCCCATAGTATTTGTAGTTTCAGTGTAATGTAATGAAGGAACAGCTATAGACGTCTTCTGTGTGATATATTAAAATGAACCAATAACCTTTATTGTCATTTTTGACTGTGGGCACACTGGCACACATTAAAATGAAATTTACTTGCTTGCTCTCAAAGTGTGTAATCTAATAGCACCAAAGGTAAATATTTAGGGAATTGTTCCAGCAACCACAGTGACGAAGAGGAAGAGTTAATACTCATTCTCCTTTGTTTTCATAATTTCTTAATTTTAATTGCTTACACAAAATTAATACCATATAGAGGTAGTCCTTGACCTAAAAGGTTATTGGGACCAGAAATTTCCAATGCTAGGCAAGGCAGTTGTTAAGTGAGTCATATCCAATTTTATAACCTTTTTGCCACAGTTAAGTAAAATGTTAAAAGTAATTGTATATTTCTTTAGGCAAGTACTATGTTTTTTTAGTAAGAATAAACTTTATTGGCACAACTGGTCATATAGGCCATTCTCAATTACTAAAAAAAAAAACAAAACAAAAAAAACCCTAACAACTTCATTGCAAAGTAACACAATTGTTAAGTGGGAAATCACATAACCATGATTTGTAATTTTCTGCCACCTTCCCCACTGATTTTGTTGTTGGAAAGTGGCTGTGAAGGTCACACATGGTGATCACCTAATTGCACAATGCTGCAACCATTGTAAATGTGTGCTGGTTGCCAAATGTCCAAATTGTGTTCACATGACTGCTGGCATCCTGCAATAGCCACAATTTCACAGACCACTGGTAAGTCTCTTTTTTCATCATGTGCCATAATTTTGAACAGTTACTGAATGTGGTCAGTAAGTGAGAACTACCTGAATTATTTTAATGTTGTCAATGAACATACGATTTCCCCACAAAAAGCATGCAGTTGATCATGTACATTTGACTGCTGTTTAAATACTATGAAAATGGAGCATTTCTAAGAGCAGTTTAGTATTAAAAATACTGCTAGCATATTTTAACAAATTATACATCAATAATGAAGCCTGAGAAAAATGTAGTTCATGTCCCTTGAAAATCTAGCCAAGTCTAGAAGAATTTTTCATTAACTGAAATCTGAAAGATTTATTCACTCATGCATACACATTTTGCAACACATATTTTGCATCTTTGCTTTAATATTTCCAAAATAATTTCAATACACCGCTGATATAGTTCAATAATTTTTGATGTGATAGTTGTAGCTCCAAAGTTACACTGTATAAAAACTGCTACCAAAATCTTAAAGAAAACTTTGTGAGGTTTACCCTCAAGGAAATTGTCCTGAAGTAACATCAGGATTGGCCCACCTCAATCCAGATTCAAAGACAATCTCTCTCGGATCACTAAAAGGGCTAGCTATCTTTCATGACATTTTTCTAAATGTCTTAGTATAATTTGGTTAGATACTCTAATACATGAAATACTGGATCAAATGGAATTTTGCTTTGATTATAAAACAGAATTGTGATAACATAATGAAAATAAAAAGATCACAATGACAGATGAAGAATGCTACATTACACCATGGACATACCTGCCTTGAAAATTTATTAAAAATCAAAGAATACAAAACTTCACATAAAAATATGTATTTTTTAGCTTCCCACATTGTTATTACACACAAAAATGAACATATTTTATCAGTCATCCACAGAGGCATAGAACATAACCAAAGTGGTAGCCAGTGCAATTTATGGTTAATCATGACTGAATGGGACATGATATCTGCTTCTTTTAAGTCTATCCTGCTTTTAAATGGAACTATTTAGAACATCAATATTCCAATAATGTAGATTCATAGTCAATATTGCTAGCATGTAGAACGATTATAGGTTTATAATCAGCCCTTGAATGATTTATTCAAGTTTAGATCCCTTCCTATACCAGATTCTACTACGAGCTTTTCATAAGATTTGAAAAATAATCAAAACAAAAATACTGATTCCACTATAAAGCAGAGTTGAGGTTTTGGCAATTCACCATCTGTTTACTCTTTATTTGTTGTCCAATTACTGTTCATCTGAGTACTAACAATCAGGGGTTGACAATATTATCAAATATTGTTTTGGGGAAGGAAGGAATTTTGGAGAGAAGTTCTTTTTTAAAAGGTGGGTAGCATACTTAAGGGGCTTCAGTATGGGGATGGGGACATAAAAACCTGTGTATGTATAGAACATAGTTTGAAGGTTCAAGAGTTGTTTCCAGAGGAAATAATATATAATATGTGATAAGGAGTATGACAGGGCAACTTGCAGGTAGAGATAAACAGCCACAGGGTACATTTTCAATAACTTTCACGTTCATATTTCCCTTAAATTTGCAAACTTTATACATCTTTCTATACAGATGCTGGCTAGAATAGTAAACCTTGTATTTTATGCCTGTCTTTCTGATTATCTTACAATCAATTTAAAAGAGAATACTAGATCAAGATGAACTGTAGACAAAATATGTGCTACTATGCTTTGGAATGTCGCAATCTTTTCGCTCATGATATTCAAAGGCCTTGCATTTGTTTTGAAAAAAATCTCTAGCATATGCTACATCAGTTTCTGACCATTCTTTGTCAAACATTCGCTGCTTAAGAAAATTCATTTCCATGTACAATTTAAGATGTCAAGATACAATTTCTTCAAGCAGAATTACTAAACTCGGTGCTTTCCAAATTTTAAAAACTTTTTTTTCAACGAAGAAAAAAAAAGCATAAAAAGATTCAGTAAGTGATATAAGAAACATGATACTTTTTAAATGCAGGGTAAGCTATACACACAATTTCGGGTTTTAAAATAAAACAAATATGTTGCCATGATGATACACACTTGCATAGTATATCTGTATGCATCTTTAAATCAGTTGCTTGCCATACAGATTATCTCAATACCACTGGGCTGTGTCTTTACAAAATAATAGACTAATACTTCAGAATGCATAGAGAAGCCAGAAGATACATTTTAGGTAGTTGCTCTCAACAGAACTAATGCAGGCTGCTAATCAGATTCCTTAATGGAATCACTACACATTCCTTTCTCCACATTCTTCAAGTTGGATGCTTTATTTAACAATGGTCCAAGCAATCAGAAGGGAAATGAAATTGACAAACTGGTATCTGTAATTTGCAGTTAAGAGTCAGGGAGATATAGAAACACACACCTCATACATACACACGCACATTACATACACACACAAATATATCCCTGACACTTAACTGAATATATATATAATCGCAAACTTGATTTGTAATAGTATTTTTGTCCAGCTGTAGCAATTAAACTGAAGATTCAAATTTTTTACATGATCCCCACTAAAATAAATATGAGATCTGTAAGAGCATTAGATGGCATTTTATCTCATAAGATTGAATTTAGCATTACATGCCAGACTAGTAAGATAACTAGCCAAAATGCTTTTTAACTCAATCATTATTATAAATACTTAAGCCAGACCAACTGTTCCTCTACAAATTAGGAAGCTTCCGATATTATTTGTTTGATGTGTTAAATTGATTGCTTAGCTAATCTACCAGAAGCATGAACCCAACTTAGAAAATGCAACTTGGGAAAGGATCTGTAAAAAAAAAGAAAGAAAATTTCTCTCTCACACACAGACATAAGCAGATGTGTGTGCATATGTGCACACCTGTTTCATAAATATATTCATGATTAAAACATTCCAAGTTATTGCACGTTATGTTTGATGTGAGTAAGGCAACAAAACCAATTGTAGAAGAAATGGGAAGGTGGTGAACAATACCACAAATAAAGTTTTGTAATGGAAAATAACATTCAAGCAACCCATTCTCCTTCCAAGAAAACAAAACAACCAATTATGAAGAAATGCAGCTACAGCAAAGTGCCACAGCATTTATGGTCCTCCCAATAATCTTACCAGAGCTGTTTCAGCACTGTAATAATCATGGATAGGCAGAAGACAAACTTCCACAGTTAATAAGGCTTCACGATAAGCACAATTATTTCTTTTAAGATGGACTCCATCACCACACACGAAACATGCAAACGTTGGATGCAGATATTTGGCAACATCCAGACAGATGTACTCAGTGCTGGTCTCAAATCCTCCCAGAGCAGTATCACACACACTGCATTAGTCTAAAGAGGACTCTGAAGTTGGCCATTATCTGCTAAGGCTAATAGGCAAACTGTCCCTGTACTTCTTTCTCCTCCAAATATTACGGTTGTGTTGGTGATGACCTCTGTTGCTAACTGGCTGCCTTACAGCTCCATTACTGGCAGAATTGTATCCGCTGCCTTGATTATGAGCTCCTTTCACAGTAAACTTCACTCCATTGTGCTGCTGAAAACAAAGGAAATATTTAGTATTACTGCCAACTATTTAATATTATTGCCAATGTTTCATTAATGTTGTCTCATGCAGTTCTTAAATAATGAATTTATACTTATGAAAAAGCAATACAGCATTCAGAGATCTGCAACCAAAATTTAAAGGAAAGTTACATTCAAGAAAATTAAAGCAGTACTATATTACTTCGACAAATTCCATGAGAAGTGCCAATCAAAGAAGATATTAGGTCTGCTCTTTCTGAATTTTAAAGGATCATTTCTCACCTACTGCCCTGCAAAAGAGATTTTGAGGAGAGGAGATAGATGAGACTAATTCCAATATATTCTACACTAGGAATTTATAAAATGTTTTATTTTTGAAGCATTCTGAGTTTGTTTTACATTTTAAGTATGAGACATTTCAACTACGATAGGAACAGTCCATCTTTAGCACAAAACAAGGTACTTTTGAATTCACAGTGATCTAACATGTACCATTCATTGTTTTATGAGACAGATTACTTTTTATGCTAACATTCATTGCTGTGATTTCATTAATTTATATTTTTCTTACTCATATGCTGACTTGCAAGGAACTTACCTTCAAAGACAAGATACAAATAATTGAGGCAGAGTGGCATCCTAACTCTAACCCTGTGATCTAAATTACTTGACAACTTACAATACAACATTAATCTGAATATTTTAGATATTGTTTTCTGAGTCCAATGACATTATGAAATGGATCTATTGATGCTGTATATGCTTTTGCTTTAAAGAGTTAGAATACATTTATATTATCCTAATTCAAAGATGAAAACTGAAGAGACTTGCATGGCATAGACTGAAATCTGAGAAGTTTTTTTCAGATTATGATGTGATAATATGGTTTAGAATATTCTGAGTACTTTGAATATTTATTTTTTATTCAATTACTAATAAGAAATCATGTCAGAAAGATGCTTTTGGTATTCTATACATGTGCGTGCCATCCTCACACATGGAAATACAAAAACATTTTTTTAGAAAATGGGTATTATGTTGTAGATGAACAAGTAATAATGTCGTATTTTGGCAGCTTCTAGACCACTGTCTCTTTCAATATTCCTAGCTGAATATTTTTCCCATCTCTACTGCAACTTTTCTCTTTTCTTAGCTTGATCATATTTTTGGGGCTATCTTAGAACTATAGCTTGGCAAATCTAACACACTTTTGGAGAAATGTTCACTTGATCTAAAAACAGCTAGGAATCTGGTGACTCCTCCCCAAAGTGGCTGCTGAACAATAAGAGGCTTTTTCTCTCTTATCAACAATCTACTGTTTCTGCTGCCAAAGCTGGTTCTCTGGCAGTGCTGTTCCCTGGATTTGAATGGGACACTCAGGAATGACCCAAGACGAGTTTTGGATGGCCAGGGACCTATTTGGGAAGGACAGTCTTGAAGATTCCAGTTCCCTCTGGAAGCAGTAGGAAAGTCACAGGGGGAATCTATCTTCCTTTCAGCAGTTTCATTCACGCGGATTTTTAATTTTCACTTTTTGAATTTATTGTTTTACTTTGTTTTTTGCTCTTAAAAATTGACCAGTGGTTGGATGCTGATTTATTTCAACCCCTTGCTGTACTCTGTTTTTTCCATTTTCTTTCCCTTTGATTTATGTATGTTGTTTGGAATAATCTTTTTGTTCTTTGTATATTTGCCTTCATCCGTAACCTTTGTTCTCTCTTTAAGGAAGCATGCCACATTTCTGTATAGTGAAGTGCTTTCATTTGATTTACATTAATATTGGACTCTCAGTACAGGATTTTTGGACTTTTTGAATTTACAAAATATTTGGAGTTTATCTCTTTTGAATTTTTCCTTTAGCCTTGGATTGAACTATCCCGATAATATCATTCTTGTTTCCATCTGCTTCAGGTTTTTTCCTTCTTCCCTCATCTAGTTAACAAACATAGATATTTGATCCAGGATGAATTACTTTTAAGTTTTGGGATGATTTGGGATAGACAAGATGCTGTGGCAAACCTTTTATGGGTGGATTACAATAACAGTTTGTTAACAGAGAGTTTTGAAACCTTAATCTTTTTTTAAAAAATATTATTATTATTATTATCATCATCATCATCATCTATTTTGTCATTAATATAATATATAGAAGACAACTCAATAATTTGCAAATAATTTTACTAGTTTAAAAATTGGGGGGCTGTTTACAAGGGGTGGGAAACAATATTTTAGTAATGTATTAATCAGTATTCAGTTGGGGGGATAACATGTATATGTGTTGGGTTTTTTGTTTTTGATGCACTTTTTTAATGTCTTGATTGCTTTGTTTTTCTTTTGGGTTTTGTTTGTTTTTGAAGTTTTTGGAGTTTTGGTATTTTAACTTTCTTTTGAATAAAATAAAATAGAATTTAAAAAAAATAAAATCAGCTAGGAATCTTGAAATTTCCAGTAGAGTGGCAACTATTTAAAATGCTTGTTAGTTAACCCAGCTAACACGCTTTTTGAGGTTTTCCATATTAATGATTTAAAATTATTTTTCTAGGGATTGCTACATTTTCATCTTTTCAATCATCCTAAAAATTGCTCTTTTTCTCTTAGGTAGTGTTCTGGTTTATTATTTTCAAAATGCTTGCGTGAGCAAATTAAACACAGAATTTTTCACATACCTGATTATTCGTGGCCATAATCAATGCTCTTGCAGGCACAGACTGATTTTTACCACTTGGCATAGTTAATGCCGGATGTATTCCAGCCGTAAGTGGAGATGGTGCTTGCAGGCTGAAGTGGTATATATTAGGAGTTGTGCAAGGTGGAGTATCAGAATCCTTAATGTTACACAAAAGGAGAAAATATGGGATTTTAATTTATTTTATATGCATATATGTATATATATAAATATATATATATATAAAGAACCTGTAATGACACATTTAAAGCAGGATGATTTTGCACTGAACATGTTACAGAAATAATCTCTCTAGAGGAGGATCAGTAAAAAAATATTTTGGAAAAAATAACTGTTTCTGACCTTCCATTACTAGACTGTAAAAATAAGTTAAATAAGTGCCTTGAATAAACAGTTCTTAACACTATCCAGTTGCTATTCTTCTGATTAGGCAAAACTGCAACTGATTTTTCATGCCCAGACTGAGCTAGCGAGGCAATTTTTATAGCGTGTGCTACTTCAATCAGCAGTCATGATATCATTTGTGGAGAAGTCACAATTTATCTAGGCTTTTTTGTTTTCTGTGGTATCCATCTGTCTTTAAGGACTCAGTATGTAATTAGTTCCAAATATGTAAATGTTTTTAAAAACTAAAAAACATTTTAGAATAAAATTGTAAACATTAGATTAAATCTAAGTATGAGACTAAAATAAAAATAATGAAAAAAGTTTTTATTTTTTAATTAACATTCTAATCTACTTTCATTTTGAGAATTTCTTTAAAAAACCTTACAATAAATAAGATAATGGTTTCAAATCTATGTTCTGATTAGTTACTTGTGGTAATAATTATATTTTTAGATAGATTATATATTATTTAACAACAAATTTAGAGGAAGCTTGGCAAGGAACAGTGATTTCAAGCTTATATATATTTCAATATGAATATTACAGTAACAACTGTATTTGTGATCTTATAAAAGAGCTTGTAATTCAGATACTATTCAGATATTAATTTCCACATGTATGTAGATAGCAGTTTAAATAGAAAAAAGATAAAACTTACAACATCACTTCCAGAAAGAGATGATACTGATGAGGCAGATGAACCTGATGATAATTGTTGCATATCAGTAAATGACAAAGTCAAAGGTTGGTTGTAAAGCAATTCGGTATCTCTATTCTGGGTTGCACTCTCTGAAGATATTGATTCTCTCTCTTTCAGCTGAACATCTAGTGACACATAGATGTTTATATGTCAATATATTTCCTTTTCACTTAAAACTCTGTTTTGAGTTTTGTTAGTGTTAAAGTTTTGTTTGTTTTACTGAACAAAACATTGCTGATTAAGTCAGCTATTATATCAAAGATGTTTAAGACTGAAATAACATGCAAAGGAACTACAGTGTGTATTTTATTAATCTCAACAAATTAAAATCAGGAATCAAATAGCCTGACAGGCATGGATTCACATGTTTATGTCAACAAATCATAAAAAAAGAACTGAGGGAAACGTTGAGGGAGGTTGAGTACTGAACTGGATAGCACTGAAACATGGCATAAGAAAATAAAAATAAGAAAAGTATGATTAAAAATAATATGGGGTTTATTTTTAGGATCAATATATTTACTTACCAAGATCAGATGAAAAGTTAGCTTTGTTTCCCCATTTTTTTTTAATCCATGCTCTGTAGTCAATCACCTCTTCTGTCACTTTAATAATTCTACCTAAAGTACTAGAAGAAATGTTGACCAGGATAAGAAATCAAGACCACAGTGATACATTTTTTTAAAAAAATCTGAACTTCACTATAGACAACATAAGAACAAAAAAACTTTTTTTAAAAGATTTGCACACATTCAGTGTTGATCTTTTCAACTGATATTAGCTCTTCTTTCCAGGGTGCTGTATTACAAGAGGATAAGTATTATGTAGCCCTAGAATTGAATACATATTATACTTCCTGTAAGTGCCATGATGAGTGGATTCCCTGCTGCCTTTTGTTAGCTAGCAAGACAGCTTTGCAAGAGGAATTGCTACTTCATGCTGGATCCCAGTCAGGTAATCTTTCCAGAACAAAGGTGTGATCAATGACATTATCCACATGACTCCACACAACAGCTCCTCATGAGTAGACCATGTAGACCCGTCATTTTTACAGCTGGCCCATGAGTAGAATAGCTGCGAGTTGGGATTTACATCAAGCTCAAACTTGCAAAACAGCCTTTATGGACACATTTCTTGGCCAAGCCTTATATCTTAATCACATATAATTTGGGGGATTATTTTATTATTTGCATATTGGAGAAATCAAGACCTCTTGGATTGGCAAGGCACTACGGCATTCATCAGGCGAGTTCTCCTTTCCTTAAAAGATGATAGTGTAAATTTGATTTTCAAGGTCCAAAATTATAAGATGTGTTTTACTAGGGGCTTAGTGATTGGATTTTGTGACGTTAATAACTGATTAATGGGCCAGAGGGATTTGGAAATACAGCTCTGAATTGTTTAGAAGATACTTTCTCATCAAAAAATGGAGACTGTTTTAGAGTGGATTTTTTTAACCAGGGGATAAAGAAAATGGAGCAAAAAATCCTTACTGCAATAAATTTTGGACAGAATGGATCAATGTTTGATAAAATTGATAGAGTGAATTTTTAAAAGAATGAACTGCAATAGATGTTTATGAAACTAATTTGAAGGGGAATTTAAATGTAAATTCAAATGGGATCTGATGGATACCTGGAGGAGATGAACAGATATTAAATCAGGAAATTGATTTGGATTTTTTCTCTGCATATACAGAAAAAGCTCAATTATGACTTGAAAGGATTTTTTTTAGACGTGACAAGAAAAAGGATACATTTTATTTATGGGTACAAGAGAAATCTGTATAAGTTCTAAAGAATTTTTGCTTTGAAACACAAATGAGCAGCAAACTACCTCTACAACTTTTTTTTAAATAAGTGAAGATTTATAAGATTGGTTTATTTGACCAGGTGTAAAAGAAGAAAATAGTTTATCAGTTTGCTCTTATTGGAATTTTGCTGATAGATTAATATAGCATTATGATTTTGTTTTCTTTATGTAAGAGATGACCTATGGGGAGAAGACAGGTTATGTTTTAGTTAGAGACAATGATAGCTATTAAAATTGTTTTTACTTCCTGGAATGAAGGAGGAAGTTACTTCTTTTTTCTTTTGCTTTTTTCTTTATTTTTATTTTTCAAACCTCTCCCCCCTTTTTTGAAGTTTGTATTAATTTTATTCTTTACACATGTAATTCTGAATAAAATTAATTTTTTTAAATGAATATATTCTTCTTTGCAACATTCAGAGTTCCTCTTTTGATCATACTTAAAAATTCTGGAGGTACAATGTGAAGTTTAATTTCACACTGCACTTCCAGTTTAATTTTATATTTTGAAGCTTAAATGTATATTCCTCAAAAACCTCTGGGCTCCTACTGGCCTGCTCACTTTTTAAACTGCAGCACCTGGCATGCCACTCAAAGCCTACATGCAGCCCTGACTTTTAAAAGACTATATACCTCAACCTATACAATGAATACATTCTCAAATAGTTACCTTTCTGAATCTCTATTAGGATATGATTTTGCAAGTGGTGATACTGCATGGCTTAGAACAATGTAGGCATAGTCAAAAACTTGCTTTACTTGCATGGCACCATAACAACTTCTTCCAACATCATTGCCTGTAATAGTCAAATTTTTAAAAATCACACTCATTATCCAGTTGACTTCACCTTGTCATGCTTACAATGCTTAAAATTCTTGGAATAGGTAAGATATCTCAAGGAGAGATGAGCACTCTATACACTTGCATATGTACTAAATGGTGCCTGATCTTCCCGGTTACAGTAATCTATTCTTTAAAATAACAGTATGCTGCATCCCAGTTTTCTATCTACCGTTCTTAAAATTGAAGAAACTCCAACTATATCATTTTTATTCTGCACTGGATTTGGAACCTCAATACCATGTTTCCCTGAAAATAAGACCTGGCCTTATTTTTTTTTTGCTCCAAAAGAGGCACTAGGTCTTATTTTGGGGGGATGCCTTACCCGCTTACCTCAGATCTCTGCGACCAGGACTCCCATGCCCTGACACCTGTCACACCGCTTCCTGACTTCTTCTGCAGCCGCTTGCGGCAGGAGGCCACATGGCACTTTGGTTGGTGCCGCTTGCGGCAGGACACATGGTGTATCTCACCAGTGCTGCTGCTTGCGGCATGACGCCATGTGTTGCGTTGTGCTGGTGCCGCTGCTGGTGTGTGCCACAGTGCAATGTGCCATGTGGCCTCCTGCCATAGTGGCGGCACCGGCGCAATGTGCCACATGGTCTCCGGCTGCGAGAGGTGGCACTAGTGCAATGTGTCACATGGCCTCCTGCCACGAGTGGCCGCCAGCAACCAGAAGTGGGCCAGTGGCCACGCAGGCTTCTGCTGGATGGGTTGCTGTTGGTGGTGCCGCTGCTGCGAGGTGAGCCAAGACATCAGGGCATGGAAGGCCTGGCTGCCAGGGCCCTGAGGTAAACAGGTTCAGGGCACATAGGGCAGCTCCACCCCTGCACCCTAGCTTGATTGTTACACATGTGCCTCACCCCACTTCATACAACCAGACTGTGGGACGGAGTAGGCAGGGTCTTAACTAGGGCTTATTTGCGGGGTAGGGCTTAATGTCATAAATGGAAATCATGTGACCCATAGGGATGTTGCAAACAGCTGTAAATGCAAGTCTGTTGTCAAGAGCTCGAGGCCAGCCATCGGAACTTTGGAATCAGGTCACAAGTACCATTTGGGGGTCAGTTGTAACTTCAAACAGTTGCTAAGCTACTGGTGGTAAGTTGAAGACTACCTTTGTATCACTGGTTGACAAACCAAAAGGAAATAAAATTATCTTTGTCATACTGTTTCCCGCTGCAGACTAAATACATGAAAAATATGAGATTTGTAATCCCAGAAAAGTGTTTGTCATATTTTGTACTATGGATATTGACTAGTACAATACAAAACATGGAAATACACCACTGTTGTTTAACGATCAAGTTTGGTTCCAATGACCACGTTGTTAAACTAAATGGCTGCTAAGTGATTACATGACTGAAAGTTACTGCGAAGATCACTGGCTCCTGCAATATCATTCAGATAAAAGGTCTATCCTATAGCTATGCCAGCATTACTCTCACTCCAGTATGCTTCGTTATCAGACGTGTGATATTTGGCTGTATAGGCACCCTGGAAAAACTGATTCCAGTAAATATTCCACAGCTTTGTTCTTGTGAATGATAATGCCTTCAGCCTCTCTTTCCCCCAAAAAATTATGCTATAAATATTGCATAACAAGATCTAAGAGTATTCTTTTAAACATTTCTTTCAAAGTTTCTGGGCTAAAAGTTGAGAGTAATATATGTCATCTTACCAGGCAGAAGGGGATCTTCAATACATAACATGGATGGTCGATATCCATTAGTCATGGTTTTCATGATTTCTTCTTTGGCAATATAGGCACCTCCATTTTTTATTCTAATACCAGTTTTTAAGTAATTAAAATTCCTTCCATAGAGTTCAAAAAATTCTATTAGAAGCATTCCTAGATTTTCATCATATCTTCGAGCATCAATTCTTGGGTGCAACTATTATAAATGAAAATCACAGGATTTTATTTTCTTACATAGCAAGTAGTATTTATATATTATCTTCCTTTTTTTAAAAAAAATATTTTTTTTATTTTTACATTGCCAGATGATAGTATTTGCCAGTGTTCAAAAAGTACAAAATGTCTTTATATGACTTGCTTACAAAATGTATGTTTCATTGCATAAATATGATTCTGTCACATCTCATTCCCACATTTTAAAGGATAAATCTTCTAAACCAGGATGAAGATGGGATAGATAGTATGCTATATCTAGTATTATCAAGGATCTGAAACCTCTAGTCCATTACAGATTTCTCACAATTTATTGGTAAATACTAGAAGTGGTAAAAACCAAAAGGAATATTACCATAATAATACCTTAAATAGGTACAATAATTACCCAACAAGAAAGTAATTATCTAAAAATTATGGATGGGTGGCCTGTCTTATATTCATAATAGAAAATACTACTGAAGACACAATTAGTATCAGATACAAATGGCTGCAGAAGAAGTAGTGGGGATAATTTACTGCCACCAATAAATTCTAGACCAATGGGGCTCAACCCTGGTGTCCACTTAATGAATTTTATGCCATCCATTACTATCTGTTACATAAAATATATTTTGCCATGTTTCGATAGGTATTCATATATGTAATATTTTATGTGCTTTCATTAAACTGCCTCACTATGACACTATTTTCATAGCTGCTAAGTGTTTATGACAGCAATTTTTATGCCACCCAGAAGATGTATGGAAGATGAGCGGCATAACAATTTAATAAATAAATACATCTGAAATTCTCTGTCAAACCAAATACAGTTTTTGGCCCCTAGAAAATTGTCCACTTGTGCTGCAAATGAAAAAGAAGAATTATTTCCAAACTTCTTAAAATACAGTGGATTCCCCAAAGAATAACATACCACAATCAATCATTAAATAATTAGTCCAATTTAATAGATTAATTTACCTATATAAAATGTATCATTCATGTAACAGTAATATAATAAGCATTTAAATGAACATTTAGACAATTGATGATACTTATGAAAAAGGACATACCTGTAAGAAGCTAATTGCCATTAAAATTAAGCTATAGGAGCTAATTCCACCAGTAAAAACCTCATTCAAATCCCTCTGAAGAAGGAATTGCTTTAATACTAAAATCAAGTAAGGCAGCAAAGAATATTTCTGTAAATGAAAAAAACAGTCAGTTCTAAAAGGAAACATTTTTGCTTATGAATACAAAAGATCACACACCAAAATAATACACCATATACTATAACAGGTAGGAAAATGAAATAGCAAATGTTTATTATCTATGTGTTTATTCCTTATAAAAAATAGGCAACTGTTTCACTCATTAAAATTTAATAAATAACAAAAATACAAGGCAATTGCTACAAACATGACATGTAATTATATGGTACATAAAAAATGAATAAGCACAAGATAAAAATGTTCTTAATCTTGGACAAAAATCACTAAGTGGCAAACAAACACTCATGCATATACACTCTGTGTAGGCACAGAAAATTTAATTCTGTTTATTGTATCAGGAGGAGCTTGTTTCAAACTTGTGAACTAAGATCACTTCTCAAAACCAAAGCAGAAGAAAAAGGGTAACACGTGCTACAGTTAAGCAGGTGTGACTTGCAAAGTAGTTTATGACTAAATAATTATTTTTGTAAGAACAATTAAGTAAATAATTTATTGTTCATTAATACACAAATATAAAATAGTTCTTTCAATAGAGTTCTTAGATTTATAGGTAGTCCTTGCTTACCAACTGCTTGATTTAGTGAATGTTCAAAGTTATGACAGCATAAAAAGGAACCTTTGAAACCAATCCTTGCATTTATAACTGTTGCAGTGTCCTACGATTGTGTAATTGTCATTTGTGTGCTTTGCAACAGATACATATTTATAATAGTTGTAGTGTCCCACAGTCACATGATCACCATTCACTTGCTTAACAAATATGGTGCTTTATTTAATGGCCGAAGGGAAAGTAAGTTTGTAAATCCTTCAGTCACATGATTTTCTGTTTAATGATTATAGTGCTTAACAACAGAGTTGCCAGTTCCTGTTATGATCACTAAGCAAGGATTACTTGTATTAGCTTCAAAAATTTAGAGTTACAACAGCTAATAAATATACTGACAACAAAGGTTGGAGCCTGCATGTAGATCTAGATTCTTTGTTACAGCAAAATATCCTGTTAAGTGTAAAATAGATCTTTCCATTTATGTCACTATTCTGTAATCTATCACTAGGTTTGCTCACTAGGAGAACAAGTCTGAGCAAGACTAAAGTCACAAGAAGGATTCCAGAAGATTATAAACAACTAGAAACACTTTTGTATGAAGCACAGTTTGACTAATTCTGGTGAACTACTTTCAGCAATTACCAATCCACAGTCCTAGAAAACATCTGAATTACTTTGCTTTCCAATCTGGTTTGTTTCTCATGAACCAAAGACCAGAACATGAACATCCAAAGCATAACAGATATGCTTTAGGCACAAGCTCTTTTAGGCACAATTTCAGAGATTTTATACAAATAATCCAAAGAGAAATTTACTATAAATTGTTATTTTTGTCATTATGTTGGTACTTTAATGAAAATGTACATATCTTGGAAAAACACTACTTTTTGGAGGACTAATCATATATATTATTTTAGTAGCTTGGAATTGGACATAATAGGCCTGATAGAAAGCAAAGGAATCTATTAATAAAATTTTAAAAAGCTCATCATGTCTAAATGAAAAGTCTAAAATGTTTGAATTACTACATTTTGCATTTGATCTGAACATTCTACTTTCAAATATATAGCTAAAAATTCTTGAACGATTATGAGCAGATATGAGGAAATATTTCAGAGAGTTTTTGAATATATTTTCTAAGAGGACCATGAAGAATATAATCCATCAATATCTGCTGTCTGATATTCCAGATGGCATTTAACATAAGCACACAACCTGTTAATTTTGCTTTTTTTCCAAATTTCAGTTCTAAAAGCAGTAGATATATCAAGACGTATTATTTTTTTCTTGTTCTGCTTACTTTACCTTCATGTAGTCTTTGATAAGTCGAGCTGCCTTCACACCAGTTTCTACATTAAAACTAATATCAACTTTCACCTCTGTAGCCTGGTCTGTAAGTTTAATTATTGGTACCTGCAAAATAGTAAAATCAACCATTCAGTGGATGCCAATAATTAATATGACATTTGCAGAGAGTAATCAATGTTTCAAATCATTTAAAATAACCAGTTCATTTAGACAGCACATTTTACATTTGTTAACACACAGCTAATGTAAATATAAATCTATTTCAACCTTTTAAATAATTATTTAATTATAAGATGGACATTTAGGGAATGATTGTTCTCTTTATGTTTTATATTAAATGTTATAAAACTTCTTATAACATTTCATTTATTGTTGTTACTTTTTATTATTATGTTTATATATTATAAATTGTGTACCATGAACGTTTTGTTATTTTGCATATTGTGTCGTGAGTCTGGAAGATAATGATGGTATACAGATTCAATAAATACTCAATGTGTTTGTATTCTTTCATTTTCTCATATTAGTGTTGCAGATGCTAAGATATTTTCTTGCTAATTTAAATGTCTATTATGATTCTAATATGGCAGGTTCCATTATACTGTACAGTCTCAATTACTTAAGAACATTTTATACATATTACAAAATCTGTCACTGCCAATGGCAACTATTCATATAACCCTTGTTGCCATTTCTTTAGTGTGGAAGAGCCATTGGCATTTTGAAAGAGGAAAAGTAACAAACTCTTTTATGCAATGTTTAATTAATTAATTTCTATATTATAATGCAGATATCATGAAACTCATCTTGGCAAAGGTGATGAGGTCATTATTAATAAGGCATTAAACATTTTAAATATTTAAACTATATCAATTATTTACTATATGGCCAAAAAGCAGTTGTTTACTGTACTATCATTTAAAAAAATATATTACTAACCCATCTTGAATACTATGTTATTAATTAGAAAGCTGAAATATATGTGGGTGAGTTGCAAAATGTATTTTGATTCTAACACTGGGAGAGAAAGAGGAGAGAAATACACTATTTATCACAATCCCATATTGAAATTACCATATTCTTTAATATCTTTTTGGTTTTTGCCTCTAGTGTAATAACAGAACCAGAGAACCACCTGCTTACAACAGCAGATCTAAAAGGGTTTCTTAAAATAAAACTAGAGATTTGGTATCTAAGGCATGGAATGTTCACGGATCTATTCACATCAATGGCAAACATTTCCAAGTGCACTTAAGTTTAGGTTGTTAAACTCTATCTCATTTATAGCAATGTGCTAGTCTAAAAACAGCATGTGTATCTGTTTACTTAGAATTCAAATGGCATACTGAAGCTCTGAACATTACTGATAATATTGGAAATTTAAAGCAAAAGGGAAATGTCACTTTTACTTGAGAAGAAAATGACAGAGTAGTAAAGGAAGAATTAAAGTCATATAGATATTTCAAAATAGAAGCAGCACAGAAACTAGGTATTTTAATAAAGTTTCTACCTATGCAAAACAAGTTATGACTCACAAGCTAAAGTCAGCTTAGTTTAACATATGCCAAGAGAAATTTTCAAATGTCAGCACCAGCAAAGCTGGACACATCATCTGTCAGTGATGTTACCAGGACTTTAATTCAAATTTAAAAGGATAAAAAATAGAAAAGCAATAGTGTATGAAATGTATTTCAAAATGAAGATTAATCAGGACACACGCATGATTGTTCAGCAAATATTAAGAATAGCTCAAAATGCAATCTTTATTGATTGAAATAAAATTGTTAAATTGATTTAAGTAATCATTATATTAACAAAAATAAAACTTTCCAGGCATTCTTTGTCATGCCAGATGTTGAAATGGTTTGAAAACAAACAATATGAGCTAATTTAGAGCTAATGCCAAGAAGTCAGGAAGGCAGGAAAACTGACAACAACTGGGAAGAACATTTTCACAAACAATACCTATTATTAAATTGCAGTTGAGAAAACTTGACAAAAACACAATATAAACAAGCAAACAATGAACCCAAAGTACAGGTAGTCCTTGATATACAATCATAATGCAGCTTGCCTATTACTATCATAAGTCGTGGCGGTCATTCAGCAAGGCGCCCACCTGACTGACTGTCTTAATGACTACAGTTCCTGCTCTCTCTGTTACAGTTGTTAATCAAACATGTGGGTTATTAAGCAGAGCCTGGGATGCCTCAGGGGATGGAGGCGGGCTTGGGACTCCAGGAACAGGGCCCCATACTACAGCACTGAATGGTCGTAAATTGAGGGCTACCTGTAAAATATAAACATGTCTGACAATATAACTTTCCCTCAATAAGGAAAAGTTCAGGAAAACTTGTTTTAAATTACTTACTGTAGCTTTGTCAAGTACTTTAATCGAATGTGGCTCGGCCACATTGTGTTTCCTTAGGGCTTGTTCTAGCTGCTGGAGAGGTGGGCTCTCCCATTTTCCAAAAACCACTAAATCAATATCACTGTAGATATAAAAACATAGCTAAAGTTATTAGAAATTTAGATATTATACAACAATTCTTTGACAACAAGGTAAATAACATAATTTGAGAGAGTTTGAAACATACATACAACATAAATATATCTCTGAACTGTCAAAGCATCCATGACCTTTGTGAAACTTGCAAGCTGGTTCAAAATCTGTCTTAACTGTATCTGAAGGCTGATCGACAATTCAAATGCTTTAACAATTTGAAGACAGATCTTTGTTCACACTATGCATGTTGCAAAATACCTCTTTCTAGTTATTCATACAGTCCATATACACTACCTCCTTGATTTAATAATATTTAATCTAATTATGTTAGTTATGTTAGAGCAGTGGTTCTCAACCTTTCTAATGCCGCGACCCCATAATACAGTTCCCCATGTTGTGGTGACCCCCAACCACTTATACATCACCGGGTGCCAGGGACGTGGTCAAGAAAAGGGGGAAAAAATGGCAGACAGCCTTGTTTGGCGACCCCCGTGAAATGGTCATTCGACCCCAAATGGGGTCCCGACCCACAGGTTGAGAACCACTGTGTTAGAGTAATATATACAACAGCCTTTCCCTGGTCCCAAGTCATATTGGATTACAATTTCATCATTTCCCAGTCAATTTGGTTGTTAGGAATCCTACTCCAATACATCTGGAAGGCACAAAGCTGGGGAAGGGTAATATAGAAGTTAAAATGATATAGAGCCTCAGCATAAAACAAACTTTCCTGACAGGTAATACTGATATTTTTGGGTTTTTTAAAGTTTGGTTTAGAAGTTCTTTCATATCCGAGTTGATTGTTCATAGTTTTTTTGTAACTGAAAGTTGTAGAAGGAGAATATTAATGTTTCTATATGTTCACACTATTGTACAAAAGATAATAAATTAGAAATGCTAGCATCCCTAGAGATACAGTACTCTAATGTGTTGATGTAAGATTTTTTTCAGGTTTGCAGCTAAACCTGAAGAATCAATACACAGTTAAAATTAAACCAGATGTCTTTTCAATTATGTCAATTTTAAAGAGACACTAAAATACAATTTATGTAACTTACTACACATAAATCTAAGTTAATGAAAATTCAATAATTGCATTATTCCTTCTCAGTGTTTTTTTTTTTTTTACTGTGCTCAACATCCCTCTTTTTCCTGTATTGACTTCTTGATAACCAGTGAGGTTGGGATGGTAATATAAGTCTTTTTAAGGTGCCATGTAATCTTTTTGCTACTATTACATAACGTTAGAGCCAACAATACAGGTGAAAAATGTCCAGACTCACCTTGTTGGCAGATAAAGTCCTGTAGTAAAACTTCCAAATATCTGAACCTGGAAAAGAAAAACATTTATACTGAATTAATTGCTAAAAATTTCTAAAATTAAAATATTAAGTTAAAATCGTGTGCAGAGCACCAACTTGAGGCAAGCTTACATCAGCTGTAGGCCAAAGATCTTTGATGACAGTTTCTATTCTTTTCACAACTTCTCGTCTCATAACTGCTTCTTCAGGACATGGGGACATAAAGTCATAAAAGTCAATTATTTCTTCATGGAGCCTATGGGAAGAATAAAAAAAAAATCAATAACAACAGAAAGAGAACCAAATGAGCTAATCTACTGGTGACTGTGGATGCTAATCTGGATTTGCAAGTAGAATATTTCAATTTCAGTTGCATAATTATTCTAGGATTCCATCTCCATTCATTTTTTTCTAGAAGTTGAACAATAAAAGGATTATAAAGAATAAAAATCAAATTTGTTTTTGTAGTAGACACATTAAATCAAAATCAAGCCTAAGATTTCCATACTTTGTCTCACACAAGCAATATTTCTCTTCACTTACCTCTAGCATGCTTGAGATCACTTCACATACATATGTAGATAAGCAGAAAAGTATCTGTCCATGTTAATCATCCATCAATCTGCATCATCATAGTCATAGTTATTACTACTAAATAATTATTTAGATTTATATCCCACCTTTTTGTTTAGGAGCAAAAAGCACTGAACATATTGGTCTCTCCTCCCATTCTTTTCCCTACAATAACCATATGTGAGATAGATTGGGCTGAAAGAGCATTAATGACTGGTAAAAAGTCACCCAATGAGCTTCTATAGTCAAGGACAGAATAGTATCTGGGTCTCCCTAATGTTATATAGTGTAGAAAATGCTTTCATTTTCCTTATATTTCTTGAAAAACATACACATAAACTAAACTATATAAAAAGTAAATTTATGCATGGGACCTGCAAAACATTAGAAGTGTGGAAGAGTAGTTGGACTTGTTGTGAAATACCTTTCTAATCACAAGAAAAGGGACCCAATACACACAAAATTAATTCTACCTCATTCAACTAGGAGATGGGGCTTAAGACTTCTTCCTGTTTCATGGAGGAAATCCCATCCCTTCAATTAAATGTACTGATTTCAAATGAGTAAGTTCAATTCTTCCTTTATCATGAAGAGCAACAAGGATGATGGGGGGGGGAGGCTAAAACTTATGAAGAACATAAGAAATTGGGTATGTATAGCCTGGTAAAAAGGACTAGGGGAGACATAATAATGTTCCAATATTTGAGGGGCTACTATATAAATGAGTAGGTCAACCTATTTTCCAAAGCACTAGAAGGCAAGATAAGAAGCAATGGATGGAGAGAAGCAACCTAGAACTAAGGAAAAATTTCCTAACAGCGAGAACAATTAACCAGTGGAATGCCTTGCTTTCAAGAGTTGTGGATGCCCCATCTGAAGACTTTTAAGAAGAGACTGGACAGCCACTAGAAATGGTACAGGTAGGGTCTCGTGCTTGAGCAGGGAATTGGACTAAAAGACCTCGAAGGTCCTTTCCAACTCTGTTATTTTATGTATTCCACTTGTAAATGATAAAATACATGGGAGCAACATATAACAATCAGCATAGTAAAGTCATTCATATATTGCTGCCTGGATAATCTCTTAATCTACTTCACCTCTTAAATATGTGCATCTTTCTGTGAACAGTAAGATACTTCACAGTAAGTTTAACTATTGTCCTTGTTCATCAAAAATTGAACAAACAGAAAAAAGTATATACTTAATTTAACAGTATTTCCAAGCTAGAACAGTTTATAACATTCTTTGTGATCAATCCATTTAAAATCTGGATCTGAGATGAATTATCTATTTTAAAATTGCTTTTAAAAATAGATGACGGTCCCAACCTAATTTCTATTAATTGCTCTTCTACATTAAGTCTGCTCCTTGCTGCCTGCTGAAACTGGGCAGGCTGGGGGACTAGGCAGCATTGCACTTCTCATCAGATTCGCGCCGCCCGGTGCAGCCTCTCAGCGCTGTGAAGAGAGCGCCCCGCTGCCTGTCAAGACCATACTTAAGAAAGAAGGAAGAAGGAAAGGAGAGGGAGGGTCTGAGGGAAGTCCTACCTTAGTCCTGACCTGCTGCCCTTTCATCATCTCCTTGCCCCCTCCTCCTGGCCTATCCTGGGGGTCTCCCAACCTATTGCTAAGGAAGCTTTGGATACAAAGCCAGGTCTTCTCCCATGGAGAGGGAATGGGCCTCTCTCTGACTTTGCCCTTGTACCCATCATGAGCAACCTGGCTAAGGAGAGCAAGCACAGCAGCAGCAGCCTTGAGGAGGTAAGGGCAGCTGGGCGCCCCCTTGGGAAAGTGGGGCTGGGTTTGATGCCGCAGGTGCTCGAGGGCCAGGCTGGGCGTTTGACCTCTGCTGCCCAGGGCTCCAGGCAGTCTGCACCACCATCCAGCCCCCCCCCCCCCGGCACGGTCTGAAAGGAAAAGTGAGGCTCCTCCAGTGGACCATGCCTTGGCACTTGCCCTGGTCCCAACCTCTACTGCCAGAGATCCTCAGATCTGTCCCACTCCTGCCCAGGCACCCACAGGCACCCTTGACGCAAACGATGTAGAGCTGGCCACGCCCACCCAGTAGGCCACACCCACTCTGTCCACACTCACCCAGTAGGCCACACCCACCGTGGCCACATCCACCTGGCCCCTGAGAGCAACCGCAATGCTGATGCGGCCCTCAATGAAATTGAGTTTGACACTCCTGCACTAGTGGGAGATTCTGACTGAAATCTTTAAATGAGTCTCTAACAAACCTATGAATCTAGGAAATAGGATGGCTTTCACTGTTGATTTCAGTATCTTCATCCTAAAGTTTAAATGCCTAATAAGTTTATTCTAAGACCCAAAGTTAAGGATAGCTTTCCAATATCTACTGTTCTTAGCAGTGTGAAAAAAAAACCCACAATGAAGACATTTGAGGTATGCAATTTGTCATGAGACGTTCTTGGAGACATGTAATATTTACTTTATTTTATTTATTTCACCATCATTCACATCGATGATGATGGCTACTATTTGTATGCAAGCAAACAACCAGGTTCAAAGCATCAGTGACTCCGCTGTTCAACCCTGGGTTACCTATGTTCTAATGAATGTTGCTTTCCTGGTCTATTTATTAATGTCCTTTCTACCAGCTCTTCTGTGAGATCACATACACATAGCCTGATATTCTGATGATAACTGAAATTGCTACATTTTTTTTTCTCCAAGAGGATTCCTAATGGAATTTCCATGCACTGGGGACTACAAGCACTTTTCTTTCAGAACCACTTTCAGTACTGTCTTCAGGATTTTGATGCTAAATATAATTACCCATTCTATAGTCATTTGTGGTTTTTGCTATTAATGGAGCTTTATCTTGGCTGATTCTACCTACTCCCCCTTGGTTACTCTGTGTTGCCCTTTAGGAACCTCCGTAGACACAAGCTATTATTTTGCCCTTGCTTGAAGGTAAGTGCCTAATTTATTAAGCATCATTGAACAAAAAAATAATAATGTCAAACAGTTTCTAATGTGGAGATGCAGAATGCAGGAAAAACAATATCCTGAACCTAGGAATGGGTCTTAGGAATAAGTGATCTTCAATACCCTTCAGGGCTTCTGAAGCTGCAATTTGAACATGAAATTGTAACCTTCTCCTTTCTCCGCTCACCTGTCTACCTATAAATAAGGTGATAAGGATGAATGGGACTTATTAGGCAAGCTTCTGGAAATGGAAATAGATGGCTCTTTATGAACAAAAGTAAGAGGTTTGCCATCATTGCTTAGAACAACTTCAAATTCTCTTCTTGGAAAAGAATAATAGACTTTAAGCTCGCACAAGCAGCTGCTAGTGTCTAGCCAAAATATCCCTACTTTCTCGTTCTTAAGCATTTATGCTGAATATGAAAACTAATTTGGGCCTTTCCTTGTTTCTTAAGGCTTGCATAGTAGCCAGAACCCAAATGAAGCTTATTCCCACTAAATTCCACAGTCCATACAGGTTGAGCTTGACTTATGACCAAAAATTTAGTCCAAAATTTCTGCTGCTAAGTGAGACAGTGGTTAAATGTATTTTGCTCCATTTTACAACTTTTCTTGTCACAGTTGTTAAGAGAATTGTTGCAGCTGTTAAGTTAATAATGCAGCTGTTAAGTAAATCTGGCTCGCCATTGATTTCGTCAGAAAATCTCAAAAGGTGATCACATGATCCTGGGACACTGCAATTGTAAGAAATATGAGTCAGCTGCCAAACGTCTGAATTTTGATCACATGTCTATAGGAATATTGCAACAGTCATAAGTATGAAAAACGGTCATAAGTCACTTTCTTCAGGGCTATTGTAACTGAATAGTCACTAAATGAACCGTTGTAAGTCAAGGACTATCTGTACTGGCATCATTAAGATACTCTTAGAGCTGTTTACCCATTTATGTATCTCTACATTAAGCGTGATGGGAGAGGGCTTCCACTATGAAACAGGAAGATAGTAGCTTTGCTTTTTCTAGTAAAATGATTTTTTGAGAAGTCCATTGTCAGCAACCAAGAAAATTCTCAATCAACTTCTTCCAGAATACTGTCCTATTCCTCATACCCAGTTTGCATGCGTATAAAAAAGCTAGAATATAAAATATAATATCCATCAAATAAAGCATTTATGAAAAAAGTATGATGGTTATACCTTTTATATAAAAACTTTCCCAAAAAAACACCCCGCATGCAGATGCTAAAATATACAAATTGAATACAATATAAATACACTGCTAAATTATGATAAGTAAAAAAATAGCTTGATAGATTAAGTTTTATTATTTGTAAAAATTTATTGACTGCCCATCTTATCACAATTTTACAGGCATTACTGAACCTTTCTTCAACTAAATATCTCAGTATGATGCACCAAGAATATAGTTTGGAAAGGTAGTACTATATTAAACTAATAATATATTTGACTGTTAATACTCAACAATAGTTTCCATTGAAAATCAATAGGAATTTAGGCCTTGGATAAAATATGAGACAACTGTTTCAGAAAATTAAATATAAACTTGGGATATCACATTCAGATTTGGATTATACGTCCAAAGATAAATCACAGAATATTGTAATTTAATAATGTACATCAAGTGCATCATTTTCCATGAACATGAGGAATATGATTGGTGCTACCAACACATTTATTATGAATGCACTGAACGCTTGCAAAGATTTTATGACA